ATCATTTTCCGTTTTCTTTGTTAAATTTTAACTCATTTTCAGAAACTTGTTTTCGAAAACGCTAAAGAGAACGCATTTTCACTGTTTTGAAAAATCGAAAACAGAAAACGGCCTGAAAACACCAAAGAGAACGGCACCTTAACTTTTAGAAAAGGGTGGCAAATGGGCTTGGCTCATCCCAGCTCAACATATGAGCGGTTCGAACTCGTTTTAGGACTAGTCGTGGACGAATTCGAGCTCACCTTTTTTTCACGAGGCCCATGAACCGATTCGTTTGAACTTATAGGCTAGCTCTCTTTTTTTCCTAATTTCTTGACTTACTATATTAATTTCTTTAAAAAGTTGTTCTTTTTTTAGTTTATTTTTTAAAAAATAAGTCGATTGGCTCGACTCCGTCCACGAACTAAAGGACCGAGCCGATCCTAGAATTTAGACACAAGTTGAGCTAGGCTTAACCTATTGCCAACGGCCCCAAATCTTAAGAGTTATGAGACAAATTTAATAAAATTTTATCTTCAACATTGACTACCTAATTTATGATTCGGTTAATTTCACAAATGGTAACTGAACTTATCTTAAAATTACAAAACGATCCCTGAAATTTAAAACTTGCATAAACGGTGAATGAAGTTTCATGCGCTTCTACAAACGATCACTAAAGGACCATTATGATTTTAATTCAAACTTAAAGGACCAAAACACGTGAACATAGAACCTTGAGGACCTCAAGTGCAAAAAACAACTCAAACCCCCCCCCCCCCCCCAACCCAAAAAATTCGTCCCATTCCCTCATTCGATCAATCTCCTCCAAATTCGTCCTCATTCGTTCGAAATTGGCCATGACCCATATGTTCGGTGGATGCCCCATGGTGGGCCGGTGCTAGGGGTGGTAGTCCTCCATCGTGAGTTGCAACGCGGTCACTGGAATTTGTGGTTGAAGGGGCCGACTGCGTTGTGGAAGAAAAACTTTGCATCTTTGGATGTTTTGATTTGTTTGATGTTATGAGGGCATCTGTAGGTGTGTAATAAGGAGATTGATCGACCTGTGGGGTGGGTACAACATGGGTGTAGCTGAAAGTTGATTTTTCGACCAATTTTTGGTGCGTGTTCATCTGATTTTGGTTCAAATTTCAAATCAAATCTACCAGGGTTGAGGCTGGTGGTTGGGTGGGTTTTGAAGGGGGCAATGAGGGCTTCAAGGTGGTATGTTGGTCTGGCGATCAAGGTGACCGAAGGTTGGGTTTCTGGTTGTCCATAGTTGGTTGCCGAAGTTGACAAAGTGTTTTGGTCCCCACTTTGGTGCGATTTTTCGGCCAATTCCGACGAGGTTAGGGCCAGTAGTTGGGTGGGTTGTGAAAAGGGCATTGAGGGCTTCAAGATGGTATGTTGGTCCGGTGGCCAAGGTCGTCGGAGATTGGAGTTATAGTGGTCCAAAGGTGGCGGGTTGAGAGAATTTGAAGGAGGGAATGGTTTTGGGTTTTAGATGAAATTTGCACTTGAGGTCCTCACGATTTTATGTTCACGTGTTTGGTCATTTAAGTTTGAATTAAAATCATAACGGTCCTTCGGTGACCGTTTGTGAAAGAAATTAAAATTTCAGTGGCCGTTTGTGAAAGAGCATGAAACTTCCATGACCGTTTTCGCAAGTTTTAAATTTCAGTGATCGTTTTGTAATTTTGAGGTAAGTTCAATGACCGTATTGAAATTAACCCATTTATGATTTGATATTTCAACAATCCGCTGTCTGGTAATTACTTTTGCTCCTATTTGTTCGAAGTATTTGATTTTGCATGCATTTTCAATTCCAGAAAGCTAGAGCTTCATTAATCTTTTCTTTTTATTGCCCCATTATCAATACAAAAATTTGGCCTTTAGAATACGATGTAGTAACAGACAATACTTGGAATGAATCTGTCAATTAAAAAGTGAAAACAATTGTGTTTAATTTTCAATGCTTCATATCTTTTCGAAATGTTTCCCGTTAACATAAAATGCAAGAACTGTTTCGAGTTTTCAAAACGTTTGAAAGAGTTATTGAAGAATTCAAATTTTCTAAATGTCGTGAAGGTTGAAAGGTTAAAGGTTTTACAAAATAAATTAATTTTGCAGGGATTAAAGTGAAAATTGCTAAATGTCGCGAAGGTTGAAAAGTTACGGAATTCCAGGATTCCTCCTTGAGGCAAATACTTTCATGCATACATTTTTTGGTTGATCCACACCATACTCTATTCTCGTAAAAGGTTTCACAAAACAAAATTATTTTGCAAGGATTAAAGTGAAAATAAGTAAGAATGTATCTAGAGGAAAGAAATTATTTATAAAGAAGTAAATGAAAATGATTTGAAAGTTATTATTGGCCAGAACATGAGCTCATTCTAAGAGAATGAAGCAATAACAAGAATGAAAAAACCTTTTTCTATGCTTGTCTTTTGCCTCGGAACGAAAATTACAAATAGAAGATCAATCGAAAAATAGTAAAGAATGAAGAAGTAGCAGGACAGAAAAAGATGCAAAGTTGAAGATGGGTCGACCTCAGTTTACCCAAGAAACGAACCAAATAGCTGAGTTCTTAGTAAAACACATTTAAGCCTATGCATTGTATGAAAAAACCTTTCTTTCTATGATTGTCTTTTGCCTCGGATCGAAAAGGTACAAATGGAAGATCAATCAAAAAGTAGGTGAAGAATGAAGAAGTAGCAGTACAGAAAAAGATGCAAAGTTGAAGATGGGTCGACCTCAATTTAGAATATTATACCAATAACTATAATAAATAGCTGAGTTCTTGGTAAAACATCTGAGAACCATCTAGTTCAGTTTAACAACTGTTTGGTCTAGCAAAATCAACTATGACAAGATTGAAAGGTCCATCGACAGCATCAACAGAGATAAGAAAACAATGACTCCCCAGATAAAGCTACTGATTTATATTTAAAATCCTGTTCAGCATGGATTAGGACCTGGAAGTAAGTTTATTAATCAAGATTGCATTTTAACTCTATAAATGTTTCACAAGATTAGTTAATTCAGTCTGAATTAGTTCTCAAATTGAACTTCAAATTAATGTACATAAAAGTTGATGTTAAAGTCTAATCCAAGTCAGTGATCAAACAAGAAATCAGCAAATTGGACTCAAAATGCATATCATTAGAAACGTAATAAATCCACACTAAGTAGCAGCATATTTCTGATGAAAGTAACACTGAAACAAATTTGATCTTTCAGACAATTCATCAAACAGTAGACGAGCATCTATATCGCTCATTCAATTGTAGAAGAAGCAGTACCAGCACCAGTAGATGGTGGTTGTCTCAATCTTCGGAGCCGATCGATCCACTGATCCTCGGAAATCCGACCCGCCCAGTCCGGAGTCGACCCGCCAAACGAAACTCCCCTCATGGCCTCCATCACTCTGCTGGCATTCTCAGACGTCAGAGGAGCTTGACGCCGTCTCTCGTCCTCTCTGAACGCTCTCTCTATTGCCCTCTGAGATTCAGTAGTCTCCCTACTCCCCTCTTCTTCCACTTCGTCTTCATCGCTCAGATCAAGCGATAAAAATCCGTTCACCATACAATGTCCCGAAGCGTAGCCATTGGGCGGAGGATGGAAATTAGAGTAGTGATTGTTGACTTCATCGTCATCAGAATTTCGGTCGAAGACAGCTCCGTCTTCGTCGCCGGCGGTTACGGTTGAGATTGGCTGGTAGAAATCGAACGCCTCATCGGAGTTCGTGTCGGAATCGCTGTCGCCTGCTTTATCTGCAACGGAACTACGATATAATCACAGGGAAAACAAGCTGACGCATTCACAAATCAAGATTATGTAAATCCTTTTAATACAATAATCAAAAGTGAATGAGAAGAGGACTTGCCTAGTACAAATCCCATGGCAGAATTATCCATTCCGTTCATTTTTGCTCGATCCCCTTTCAGATTAAGAACGTACTTAACTATTACTCATCCAAAATCAGAAAAAAGTGATTTTTAAAATTATTTTTGATAAAATAAGTAATTTAAAAATTCAAAATTTCACTTTTTCCAAAAAAAAAAAATATCCTACTTTTTTAACCACCAATCCTCCCAAAAAAAGCATTTTTCAAAGCATAAATTCTCAAAAAAAAAAAAAAAATCTTTTATCAAACTAGGCAAATTCTAATTTATTTTTGCTGACGTGGACCAATGAGACCCACAATCCCTGGCTACAAGTGCTTCGAGCTTGTGAATGTGAGTAGAGAGTGAAGAGGACAATGGAATCTCCTCTATTCAAGCTCTGTAGCAGTATTTCTTATACAAAGACATTTTTACAACCCATTTCAACAGTTAATTCACCAAAATTATATTCAATTCACAAAAGGAAGAAGTTGGTTTGCTCTGCACCATCAAATTCCAATTCTGTTTGGTAAAGCCATTCATTTTACTCACTTGCGATTCCTAATTTATTCACATTTCTAAATCTATTGTGTTGAATTTGAGTGCTTAATATTTTGTAGTTCAGAGGGAGGAGCGTTCTTAAGTATTGGAACCCACCTCATTCCACATCCCAACAAGGTATTTTAATTTTCCTCAAAAACTGCAAGATGGGTTCTTCTTGTTCTGCAACTTGAGCAGATAATTTCTAGTTCCTCTTTGTGTTTTCTGAAGGTTGAGAAAGGAGGGGAAGATGCTTTCTTTATTAGCAGTTATAAGGGTGGAGTAATTGCTGTTGCTGATGGTGTTTCTGGGTAATTTGTTTTGTTTTATTATATATTAATTATGAATTTTTATCAAGAATACGAAAAAATGGCAGACAGCTCTAATCGATAGGTTTATAAGAATCTTTTCCCTTGCAGTTGGGCAGAAAGAGAGGTGAATCCTGCATTATTTTCACGCGAATTGATGGCTCATGCCTCTAATCTTGTCGAAGACGAGGAGGTAATTCTTTTATGATATCTCATGAACAGAATATATTCGAGTGGATTTGTCTTAGCAATTCACCATTGGAGTATCTGCATTTTGTTCATATCATTTATCAAAGGCCAACACATGTACAATTTTGTCTAAGTAAGCCCTTCTTGCTATGCAATGCTCTAGTCAAGGAAAGCCAAATCATAGTCGTTTTAGGCTGTTGGTCCTGAATCTAATAGCTTAAGTTTTTAGATCAGGTTCAATACGAAACTTAGGCTTCAGTTTTACTGTTAGCTTTTCATTGCACTTAAATTAATACCACTCGTCTCAAAATTAAGAGTGCATTACCCAAACAAATAGTACGATTTATGCACGAGAAATTTGGACCAGCGTGCAGAATTACTCAGGAGCCATTCTCCAGTTGTTACAAAAGAAAAGTGGGGGGAATCAGTATGTTCAATATCAAAGAACTGATTTGTTTTGGCATGTTAGGCCAAGATGTCTACAGCAAAAGAATGGTGATACCCCCAAAAACCTAATAAGTTATACAGCACTGCAGCCTTAGGGTATGAACTCCAATAATGCAGCAAATGCCTGGATGTTCTGGGATAAGTGAAAACCAAGGAAAGAGATGTGCTAAGTTCATCTTAACATTTCATTCTTTAATGACCAAAATGTTCTACACCCAACAATTATGGCTTTATCCACTTGGTGTGCTCTGAAGCTTGAACACAAAAGGTCAAAAAGGTTGGATGAGCAATCAAACAACTGAAGACAGGATTATCACTTGCTGAAGATCCCAAAATTTCCTAGAGTACAATGTTGCTTTTAGTACTTGCATTTATGAGCACTTACCCAAACATAATCTTGTCTGGGGGTATAGATAACTTCGATACAATTTTCCACGAAAATGAAAGTGCTGTAACAAAATGTTGAGAGCATGACTCTTCATATATTTTTGTCACTTGAAGAACTTACTGTACAAGTTTGATGACGAATTAGACTGATATGAGAGAGAAAAATCCAAGCTTAAAGTTAACCTCTTTGTAGCTTAAGATAATACACATAGCTAATAGTTTGTACAAGGTATTAAGCGTGCCTGTATGTGAGCTCGAGTCAATGGAGTCCATCACCTTAAAATTTTGCCAGAGAACTGTAGTAAGTGACAGGACTACATCTCAAAAAGCAGCTGTGCACATCTATATGCCATCCTAAAAAGGGACTCTGTTGCTAGATTTGTTATACCTGGTGATTTCCTAGTAGAAGGTAGCAAAGGAGCTAGACCTTTCCAAATCCACGACACACAAGATTAAATGGTGCATGCTGCACTGGTTGTATAGGGAAATAATTTTTTGTTATATACACTTGATTTGTAGGTTCAGTATGACCCTCGAACTTTGATAAAGAAAGCACATGCTGCTACCTCTTCTATTGGTTCAGCTACTGTGTGAGTTCTTCTACAATGTCATCCATGATAATTCTCGAAAGTGCATACATTTAATTTTAGTATCATATGGTATGATATCTGTTATAACCTTACACTACCATTTGCCTATCAGAATTGTTGCTATGTTGGAGAGGAATGGGACTTTGAAGATTGCCAATGTAGGGGACTGTGGCCTGCGAGTTGTGCGCAAAGGTAACATCTCATTCTGTTGTTTCCATTCTCGTCCATTTCTAAGGATATCCAAATTGTGTCTTCTATTATTTTCTTTTCGAGATCAATGATTGTCATTTTCACTTTCTAAATATAGGTCAGATAGAATTTTCCACATCCCCACAAGAACATTATTTCGACTGTCCTTACCAGTTAAGCTCAGAGGCTGTTGGTCAGACATACCTTGATGCTACGGTATAAATTTCCATGCATCCTTATGTAGTTAGACATAAAGCTCTGGTCTTATTTTTACTGCACTATTTTTCATACCCTTCATTATCAGCTGTTTTTCTTGAAATACAGGTGACCACGGTCGAGTTAATGGAGGGGGATACTGTTGTTATGGGTTCAGATGGGCTTTTCGATAATGTTTTTGATCGTGAAATTGTCTCAGTAGTTGGCTCTTACAACAACATTGCTGATGCTGGTATATAAAATCTACATAGTTCTGTTGAAAATTTGTAGTTTGTGCTCCTCCATTTTCTAACGGTATGGTTTTGATGCTAGCAAAGGCATTGGCTAATCTAGCTTATGATCACTCACAAAATTCCAGTTTCGACTCACCCTATTCACAGGAGGCTAGAGCCAGGGTAAGTTAATGTAGGCATAACTTGCTTCATCTCCACAGCTGTAAATCTACTCATAGTAAGATGCTATTGAGTTATAAATTATTATCATCTGATTGAGCAGGATTTTGATGTTCCTTGGTGGAAGAAAATAATGGGGATGAAGTTAACAGGCATGAAATAATTGAAAACAGTTTCAATAATTTTTCTCAGTTCCAATAATTTTGGTACAAATAATGGATTATCCTTTAAATTTGACAGGTGGGAAGCTTGATGATATTACTGTAATTATCGGGCAGGTGAAGGGCTCATAAAACTTGCATGTCTTTGGTTGGAAATTGTGCACTTTATTGGTTTAGGGCACTGAATGGAATGGTTCACTGTGTAATTTATCTTATCATTACTGGTAGTTGAGTTTGTTCCATGTTGCTAATGGCTGTTTATGGAGTTGTTGGGAAATCATTGTTTATACCCCAAGAAAGGAAACAAATGCCCAATATTTTGGCAGGACTTCTCTAAAGTAAAAATCTACTTTTAATACTAAGAAATTAATTTTGAATATGTATGGATAATTTTGTTTAAAGTGCTTTGTTTAGAAGAACGTTCAGAGAAATCTGATATAAGATAACTTGCTCAAAAAACTCTTCTACAAGAATCAAAACTCCTATCTTAAAATAGCCTTTAATATTGTTCTCGCCTTCTTGATGTCGTACTAAAAGTAGCCTACTTCAAAAGGAGAGCAACTTGACAGCTTTGTGGTACCTATAGCAAAAGGGAGAACAGTCGTATAAATAATTGAGCAAATGTTATAAATTATGTGAAGATGCTCTATCTAACTTTAAGACTGTTGTGTCGCATTATATTTAAATTGTATACATAAAAGAGTCGTGAAGATGTTGTAGTACCACAATAGAAGCAAAGATGGTACTTGATTTTACGAGTGAAAAGAGAAATGAAATACTACAAAATCATCCTCAGAATTTTGTGGTCTAATTGATCTCATATCTTTCTACGACCACCGCAGAAAATTGTGTAATTTTAAGTTTGCGGAAATTATACCCATCACGCCATCACCTAATATTTGAAAAAAATTCAAGAAATACTTTGTAATGAATTTTTTCATGTTTTACTTTAAAAATATAGTAAAATGAAAAACAAATGAATGACTTCACTCAATCTAGACAAATCAATTGGTAGCTAAATAGATGTCACCAAACACGCTCCTTCCTATTTTTAAATAGATAATCAATTATGTGCGAATTTTCCCCCCAATGATGCCCCTTCCCATAGTTTTTTAGTCTAAATACCCTAATTCTCATTGACTTGTATTCATTCCAAAAAACCTCCATCTAGAACACTTTCAAGAAATCGAAGAATCAGATCTCACTGATCTTCATCCAAATTCACAACACTACCATCTATATCAAAATATATAACAAAATCTTTGTTTGATCATCAATATATGCGTGATTAGGGTTTATTCGCCAATATATATAAACCCTACTCACGCTTGTAAAATCACCACATTCAAACAATCAAAGCTCTCCTTTTACAGTAATCATTGTTATTTCAAGCTTCATCCACAATATGTCACATTATCAAAGTTGCAATTATCTACTGATGTAGTAAATATTTATTCTTGATTATGGGTTGCAATATACAACCATATGTATGAAACTGATCGACAAACACAGCCTTAACATAGAAACATCCCATAAGCAATGATACAGTAATTACGAGATTGAATTTTAATATTATGAAACTCAAAATATTGTGGTAATCGAATGATGTATGAAAAATAATAGTTTCCACTCATGGATTACAATATACGGTCATCCATCCTTCAAAAAAGAAATGGATTTTATCCCACCATCCAGATATCTACACACCTCACAGACGAAATGAGAATTTATAATTTGATTCGAAATACCACATTTACCGACAAAAGCTAAGTCGCAGCTTTGTGAATCGTGAAATCAAAATGACGGAGAATGTGAATCTTGAGTATAAAATTTAATTGTTTTTCGAATCGACATATAAATAATTGCAACATATTCTCAAACCGTGAATCAGATATGACAAGAATTTATGAAACAATTACATTACAAACTGGAAATACTAAGACCAAATTATGGATTTCTACGGCAGAGACAATTTCTTGATTGTTGGACAATAAAGCAAGAATAGAAGGATGATCAGCTGCACACGAAAATAGGGATATGTGTTTTGAAAGGGGTAATACTAAGGATAATTTAAATTTTAAAATTTCGTCAGTTATAAAGACTACATTGGGGTTAATTATGGTAACAGTATTTTATAAAACATTTACTATATCACAAAGTAGTAATTGGATTTTAAAAATCACAGTAAATATTGAATTTTTATTTTGTAACGATGTAGATACGAAAATTTTCGTTTGAGTTTCATGTAACAATCTTGGATAGGCCCCCCAATTAAATGGGCTTTCAACTGAACAATTTTAATTATTTTTTTCCTAATACACAAATAAATGCTCCTCTCCTGAATACAGAGGTTGACAATCTCACCTGTCAAGCTACAACAGCCAAGTCAACCAGAAAGGTGTTTGAACATATTGCCCATTCCGCTCTGAAATTCCGAAAACTTTGAAGCTATGCACTGTGCTTCTCAGGTGACATTGTCATTGCTGCTAGTGTTTAAATCTTGAAAGAAGGATTTTCCAGCTTCATACGTCGACCAGCAAATTGCAGCAGCCGGAGCATGGAAGAGCATCCTCGGCATCCACCCTCTCATTAGACCAACATATCCGTCTCTCTTCACTATTGTTCGAGTAACGTCCCTGATCGAACCATTAACATATCTATCGCATCCACATACGCCCTGCACAAAACCAATGGATTAAAGCCGTTTGGCACCAATTTTTAAAGAACATTTTTTTCCAAATTCATTTCAACCACACATCTTATGAGACCACAACTTTTATCAACTTTTTTTTTAATAACCATGGATGTCCGGACCAGCTTGCGTGCATCTCGATTAATTTCACGGAGCCCTGAAGTTTACAGCCGAGTACTCAACTCAGTGGTCATGAGGGGACTCGAACTAGTGACCATTGAGCAAACTCAAGGTCTGTCCAATTGAGCAATCCCTCAAAGTTAACTTTTATCAACTTCTTAACTACACATTTCATCAACTTATATAAAAATCTATTAAAAATCTGATTTTTAGCCAAACTAAATTGGTGTTAAGTCACCACAACGTTCTTTAAGATTCGATTAAAGAGAACATACATTAGAGTATGTAAGAATGTTGGCTAATGCAGATAATCAGCAATTTCTGCAGGCATTATAGCATTCCGGTATTCAAATGAACACAAGTTCTTGACATGTTTATTTACACAATTTCACCTACATCACTTATCGATTACCACCAAAAAAAAATAAAAAAAATAAGGAGGAGGTGGAGTGATGTACATCGTAACAAACGACAAGTAAAGCTGATATGGAAACAAATCACCAAGTCACCTGTGCCGGAAAAATTGCAGGTATGTAAATTAAATCAGATAAGCAAAAACTACATTGGGGACAAGAAAGAAACAATTTCAATTTCAATTTCTCCAAGTTTTCATTGACTATCCCATTAAGTCTCTTCTAGTTTAGTCTATCCGCTTCTCAAGACAAAGTCACTTGATAATAAATTTCAATTACCTAATTTCCATGGAGAAGTGTTAAAAATGTCTCCACATTATGGATCAGCTAGTCATCACTTAAATCATATGATGGAAGCAATACGTTGAAGTCTAAATTGCCAAACTTTGTTATTTTGCTGCCTATAAAACTAATTACAAATTTCATGAAAGGAGATCTTGAATACACTTCCCAAATTGATCTCCACACCTTCCAAACATAACGTTTCATAATCAAAAGTTCACCACTACCCTTAATGCAAGATGAAATTAATACAAAAACCAATTCACATTTTTATCCATTAAAACCTACACCCCAACCCTTTGCCTTTCTCCAAGACCAAACCCCTTCCTACCCTGTCACCACCTCACCAAAGTCACCTTTTTACCTACTGTGGATGAAAGCTTGGACTAGTCCAAATTCTGCATATCTATAGTAGTAAATCTCCTTTTGTAATTCCTCCTCAACTGTACTCAAACTCATTTTCACTTAATTCCTTCTCAACCATCCTCAAACCTAACTCCATTCGTCAAAGCCTTATCTCATAGTTACCTGAGTCAGAGATCCTCTTTCCCACTCAACTTCAATTACCTTATTCCATGTCATTTTGGGTCAACCTCTACCATATGATAGCACTATTATTAATCTCGTTACTTTTCCTTATCAATATATCCAACAACCTTCATAAGATGTGCCCAACCCATATCAATCCATTCTCATGCAATTTATCTTCGGAGACTATTATTTAACAAACTTACAAGTATGCTTATTCTTACTCCTCTCTCTTCTTGTTTTACCAAAAATCTTCTTTTACTTTAACGACTCATATAAATTCAAATTATTTATAATTTGCTTCCCCAATGTTCAATCCCATAAAACATAGACTTCTTATCCAGTCCAGTAGATTTTTACAGTGACCTTCAACCAAACAAGTTCCAAGGACAAAACCACTTAGTCTTATAATCCCTGACCTCTGAATAGCATCTCTCTTACGTCACAAGCCATGAATAATCAAGTCCAAGCACGGAAATATATTTTATGAGCTCCATAAACTAATACCTCCCTAATGGTGCTTCTACTTGAACAAAAATTACACACAAATACTCAGTCGTACTCCAAGTAAAGTTGAAATCTTTACCTCAAGATGCTCCTCCAAAAGTCCAAAATTTCAGCAGAATTATAGAGACTAATACAGTAGTATTTAATATTTCCCTACCATTGTCTCTAAAAGGATCGTTAAGGCATCAAGGCACGGTTGCTCAAATTGAACCTTGGAAAACAGAAAAAGATCATCCTATTTCTATCGACTTTGGCCAGAACTTGCAAAGTGAAACAACAAAGATAACTGTCTGTCATATCTAAATTAGCATCTCTAAGATTTCTTTTTCATTTTTCCAAGAGCAACACCAAGGATAGTATAGTACATATTACACTTAAATATCAATTCATTTCCAAAAGAAAAAAAATCAGAGCAAAATACCCACCTCCTGTTCTCTACATATCCAACTTTACACACTAATAACAACAAGATTTATATTTTAATTACCTGACACTGTAACTGGGTCTTCACAACGTCAAGTGGGGTCGTAACTGCAGCAGCCAATGCTCCTGCCACAGCTCCAGCCGTGGCATGAACTACCAACCTCTCATCGCTCACACTTTCGGGTGACACCTCCATCAAACCCCTTTTTGCTGCCTCATAGGTGGCAAAATGAACTGCAGTGAAAGGTGCATTCATTAGAACGGTGGTCCTATAAGACGCATAGAAGGCTCTAATTCCCTCCTCCCTCAGCACCCTCTTTACACAATCCCACACCCCCATATAAGGACTACTGCTCAATTGCAGCCTCTGCTTAACCATATCCATAGGAGTAAATACTGCATCACTCGCAATAGTTGCAAAAACCCCTGACACAGCGTGGGCTACATGATTATTTGGATTTCCACGTGAAAATCTCTTCTTACAAAATTCATAAACAGAAAAATAAACGGCGTGGGCTGGACCAGCGCCCAGACCCATAGCCCCGATGCCGCGATAAAAACCTATCGGCCCGTCAGACTTCAAAATAGATTGTACAGCCTGTTTTACGCTCGCGGATTTAACAGGGCAAGAGACCATGGCTTGCATCTGGGTTTTGATTGTATCAACGGGAAACATTGCCATGTGCTCCACCACACCCGCGATTGATCCAGCGATCATAAACTGCCAAAAGTGGAGGCCGTCGTGCTCCGGCGAAACTGTAATTTCCGGTTGGTAGTCGGGTGGCTGAGGGACCGCTATCAGATCGGATTTTTTGAATTTCGGCGAGGCGTCGGTAGCCATTGAAACTAGTAAAACCCACAAACGCCCTAGGGTTAGAGAATCAGTTCCAGATTGGGTTAAAATCAGTCATGTCTTAGAAAAAGGGTCTAGCTAGATATGGGTTATGTAGGATTAAAGTTAAACGGATAGCCAGAGGGATACCGATAACTTGGTGGATTGGAAGATTGGATAACGGTCAAAATGGGAGGGATATAATAATGGAAGATGTTGGAATCAAGGCGTTGAGAATAGAAAGTTCAAACTAGGGTTCCAGAAATTTGGGGGTTTTGCAGTAAATTTTGAATATTAAATAAATTTTACAGCCGCTGTAAAAATTTTGCCTCCTGAATTTGTTTACACGTCCTAAATTATTTTATTTTTATGTTAGTAAATTCAAGTTGTATGTAAAAATAATATTAAATTAATTAAATTGAGCTGAAAAATATAGATACTTTAATTCCATCCCACCTTGTTGCCACGTCCCTACATATAATGGGGCCCGGTTTTACATTCGTTTGAAAATTACTAAATTTGATTATTAATGTTTATTAAAAATTATATTGATTTATTATCGTAAAAATATGCGAATGCTATTTATATTGTTCAAGTATGTATAAACTATACTAAGTAGAGCTAATTTGAACATTGATTTGGCCGAGTCATTGGTCAGACAGGTAGAAGGCATCTAGAAAGGAACTGCGAGTCGATGCCGATGGTCTATGGTCTAAATAAATCGACAACGAGTTTGGGTTTGTTTCGAAAGAAATCCCCAATGGTATTGATTTTTTTTTTTTTTTATCCAATGGGCACTCTGGTTGTTCCCTTGCTCAGAAGATTTGGGTTTAATTTGGATGGTGAGGCATTTTCACTGGACCTAGTAGTTGGTTTTTATTTTGGGTGGGCTATGGATATATGGCTGAGGAAACTAGGCCCAATCATGTTTAGATACTTGAGAAAATTACCTCAAAACCTACATTTAAAGATTACATTTCAAAAAACAGGGAATTAAGTTTTATTTTTACAAATCAGGTGGTAAATAGGATTATTAATTTTAATTAATAAAAATTTAATCAATCATTCATCCCCAAACCCGATTCATTCTCTTCCTTCTCAGAGAGAGAGAGATGGCCCACCCAATTTTCCGGAACCGTTGCTCGTGGCGGAGCAATCCCAAACCCGATTCATTCTCTTCCTTCCCTCTCTCTCTCTCTCTCTCTCTCTCTACCACCCACTCATCCCCCAGTGTATACCGTCACTTCCGGCACCACTACGTGCGGCGGCTCTGCTATGCCGCTAGATCTGCTGCTATTAACCAGGAAATAAAGTGTGCTTTTGAAGATTACTGGTGAACTGTGGCTGAGGATGCTAGTGAAGAGGCTACTGCTTGTGCTGCAAACAGTGTCGCAAGAAGTCATCGACGAAGAAGCGATCGGAGAGTGAAATCTAAAATTGTCCCAATTTTGTAATCAGGGCGACTTTCTCCAATTCTTAAGATTTTTTTTCCCTGAACTTAAGGACAACTTAATGAAAATCCTGTACAATCATTATGAACATGAAATCATTAATTGCTGACTTTTATTATTGCAAGTTTACTTCAAAGCAACATATCCATTCAATGAGAGGTGGCAGAATGCCTAGATTATCAATGCTTTCTGGGACATTCTTGCATTTTCCTTGCTCTGTGTTATCTGTTTTCTCTGGGCACCATCACAAAGCTCCCAGCGGTAGGTTTACAATGACATGTTCTCTAAATTATATTTTATTTTTTCATTTTATTCTATGGAACTATTTTTGCTCAATTTTACAATAACTCCCACCAGTTATGCATATTCGGACGGCAAGGGAGACGAGATTGACGATGAATAAAACCGAATCCTTATGTAGAGAAACTTCGAAAGGTATCAATTTAGTAAAGCAAGACAGGAAGGATGACAGCGAGACATCTGATCCAGAAGAAGAAACCGAAGAGGGTAAAAGGGAATGAATCTTCAATATTTTTTTCAGATCATCTCATCCAGAGGTCTAAACACACAGAAATCATTGGCAACAAGAAAGGGAAAAAAGCAATTGGCAACAAGAAAGGGAAAAAACAATCTGCAGACACTGAAATCATTGGCAACAAGAAAGGGAAAAAAGCATCTGACAACAAGATAGGGAAAAAACAATCTGCAGACACCACCAAGTTTTAGAAGTGTAGGTAAAGGGTGAAAGCACATGGTTCCTAGTTTCGTAGAGGGAAAAACTATGATGAAACTCCTAATTGTATGTTTATGCGTTAAGCAATTATCCCATAATATGTTTATGCATTAAGCAAGATATCTCCAAAATCTTTTTTATGCCAATCGGAACCTTCAATCCGACTAGTGTTGGTCCGTGGTGTAAACGGATTTGTTTATGGTGACCATTTGTGACCAAATATGTGCCCAATTGTGACCGATTGTGACTTGAAATTCTAGAAATTTTTTGGAACTTGGGATGACTGTTGTGACTATTTGTGACCAATTGTGACTCGTTGTGATCGATTGTGACCGATTGTGACTGATTGTGACTTGAAATTTTGGAATTTTTTTGGAAGTTGGGTGTGGGTGGATGGGGTGTAATTCCAATTTTTAATTTTCTGAAAATTTTTAAGTCGTCGGAACAGTCGCCGAAGCGACCGCCAGAGTGATCACCGAAGCTGATGGTCATCTCCGGTGGAGAGATGAAGGGAAGGTGGTATAGTGAAATGATAGGATGAGGTAGATGATGTGGCATGAGTAGAAATAATTAATGTAAGGGAAAAAACAATCTGCAGACACTACCAAGTTTTAGAAGTGTAGGTAAGGGGTGAAAGCACATGGTTCCTAGTTTCGTAGAGGGAAAAACTGTGATGAAACTCCTAATTGTATGTTTATGCGTTAAGCAATTATCCCATAATATGTTTATGCATTAAGCAAGATATCTCCAAAATCTTTTTTATACCAATCGGAACCTTCAATCCGACTAGTGTTGGTCCGTGGTGTAAACGGATTTGTTTATGGTGACCATTTGTGACCAAATATGTGCCCAATTGTGACCGATTGTGACTGATTATGACTTGAAATTCTGAAAATTTTTTGGAACTTGGGATGACTGTTGTGACTATTTGTGACCAATTGTGACTCGTTGTGATCAATTGTGACCAATTGTGACTGATTGTGACTTGAAATTTTGGAATTTTTTTGGAAGTTGGGTGTGGGTGGATGGGGTGTAATTTCCAATTTTTAATTTTCTGAAAATTTTTAAGTCGCCGGAACAGTTTGCCGAAGTGGCTGTCGGAGTGATCACCGAAGCTGATGGTCATCTCCGGTGGAGAGATGAAGGGAAGGTGNAAATGTAATATAATATACATTAATCATAATAAATTTATTTATCGCCTGATTTTTGAAATATTTTAATAAATTTGAAAAATCAGGCGATAAATAAATTTATAATAATTAATGTATATTATATTACATTTTAATATTTAATAAATTTATTTATCGCCTGATTTTTGAAATATTTTAATAAATTTGTTATTTATGAAATATAATCTTTAAAAATAAGAATTATGTATTGTTCCCTAGATAGTTCCTCTCCCTCATTTATAAATACGGACTTTCTTATTTTCTCATCTCATTTATATAGATATATTTCTTTATTGAGAAAGTATGGATTTTGCTTGTTTACTAATATACTTTTATTTAAGTTACCTAGTTATAACCAATTATTCTCACTTAATTTTGAAATTGTACAAATTTTAATTTACTTTCTTTGAATTATCCAAATACACACACATTTTCCACTTCTTCTTGAAAACATGAACAAAAACATATTTATTCACTGCTGGTTGTTGATAATTAAATAAGAGTAAAGAAGGAAAATTCTTTGCAAAAATGTTTTTTCAATAATATTAAATAAAATTTCTTAATTTATGTGAAAAACAAAATCAACATATATAAATGGGACGAATAAAGTATTGAAATTCAAAAATAAGGTGTTTTAAAAACAATTATACGAATGCGGTATTATTTAGCCCCTGTTTGTCATCCATTTTATCAAACATTATTTGCTATAGTAAACAATTTCAATCACATACCCACTCAATAAAATATTTTACACACAAACCAATAAAATTACTTTACTTTTCAACCACATATTCTCTAAAAAATACTATTCAAAACTCTATTTCTTCTCCCAAAATGGAAGACAAACAAGCACTTAAGCTAACCTTTCGAATCAATAATCCTTTTATATCCACATCTCAACTGCCTTTGTTGTCCATTCTGTGTTCTGTTGCCATAACCTCCATCTACTTTTTTGCAGTTGTGAGAATTCTGACCGTTTTAATACATTAGTCATAGTTGAACCTACGTTGCACGTTATTCTAAAATATTTTATATGTGTTATAAAAATAATGTTGTAAGATGTGAAAATATGAAAAACAATTAATACAAATTGTTTACGTGGAATGAACTTTTGATTCAAATAAAATAAAAACATGTTTGTGAAAACAATTTAAAATAGTTGGGTAAGTCAATTAGAATGGTCCCTCCATTTGTCCTTTTGATCTGAACTGAACATCCAATGAATATCTTCATTTCTTTTTATTCACTTAATATAAATGAAATATATCAATTAAAACTATTTATTATATATACACATTATGTCTCACCATTTACCTTCTTTGTGTCAAATGTACATATTGATCGTAAATAAATAATTGACAAAATAATTCATTATAATATTGCCCAAATGATTCGAATGATTAATAATTTAAATACATATTGAAAAACGTAAAAGTACGGTATTGTTGAAATAATTAAATATATATCGAAAAACGAAAAGCCAATATATTATTGAAATAATTGAATTATAGTAAAAATAGAATCGTCAAAAAAATGATTTTCACTTGATGTAATATTTAATATATTATAAATTATAATATCATTTTACGGTGGTGCAAATCCAATTGGGTGGTGTGGGTCGACGATTGTGCTAAAGTTTGGATTGCTAAGTCAAGG